CCTTTTACAACTCTGTCATGTCCCGCATCTGTACCTGCACTAGTACCCGTACGCATGCAATTTAGGTGAAACTTTTATCTGTAATCATGCAACTCTCAATTCTCACATTACATATCTTCTGCATTGAATTTTTGGATCCTTTGTTTTTTCACCTCACAATTACATTATCTTGAACTTGAAGATAAATTACTATTCTGTTAGAAAGTGTGGTTAAGGTTTAGTTTTATTGGCCTGTTGATTCTGTTCGAAAATAATTATCATCTAAAAATGTTGGTTATATTGATTTATTAGTAGTATTTTCAAGTTTATGCTGTAGAATTTACGTTCTTCATTAGTTTAGTACTAAAACCTATATTTTTTCTTGTATATACTCATTGATTAGATCAGGAGCATCTCAGAGATATGTTAAGTAAACTAGTTGTAGTTGGCCATATCTTGGACTTGACTGTCGAAAATATTTGATAAATTTGAGATTCCACATAATTCAAAGGATTGGGTTACGATCTAGCTACATGGCCTGTATGTTATACCATAAAAATGAAATGCGGACAGCAGAACATGAATGTCTACCGAGCTCTAGTAGGGATAGAACTACTTATATGAGGATATTCCTGGAACTTGTCTCTGTATCGCTTTTTAGTTCTCAAAACTGCCCTCTGGTAAAGTTACTTTTCTTCCTGGGGAATTTTAAAAACGGACCTGATTATGGATCGGCTAAATGCCAGAGGGATACTAGTTAATAAGATATTAGACCTCTTATGCCCTGCCATTATACCTTTGGTTCTTTACCCTGATCATAGTTTCTATTTAACTGTGTACTTCTTTGTATTCTTCATAAATTTCGTTACTGCCCACTAATCAGCTATATAATCTTCTGAATATATCGACCAAAAACAATCCTAATTACACATAAAAAGTGTACTTTGGATGCATTTGTTTCACATCCATTGTGCTACCATCACAAAGAAAAATATTGTCTAAAGCCTGCTTAATATGCATGCATTTTTACCCTGACATTGTGCTGTGTTTATCTGTGTATGAATTCATGTAATAGAACACCCCACAAAGGAAAGTCAGGAGATAGCTAGCCTGCTTTGGAATGTTAATTTTCTTTTAAGCTGACTGAAATGGAAATAAGCCAATGAAAAATCGATCTGATCTACAAATTTATACAATTTCATTTCCTTGCACATGCACAACATTGTACATGTTTTTTTTTCTGTATTAGAGAGGAGATGAGAGCCAAAACATTTTGCTTTCTCTAAAGGTGCTCTATATTCTAATAGAGGTGGTGAAGTTTGATAAGCCACTGCAAGAGCATCATCCGTTGCAATAACCTCATCTAGAACTGGGAGATGTGGGCTGCGGCATTATTGTAGAATGTCAGTATCTTTGTTTCTTGTATGCTTCAGTAACTTTCCTGTTTATCATTTGTTTATGAATTGCCACATATGGGATGCTACAATAGGAATCTCTGGATGCAACAGATACATTTTTCAACAGGCTCCAAAAGTTCAAATTAAACATTTCCATTTGCATGTTCATCTAAATTGAGTGTTGATAATTCTCTTACAGTGTCTATTACTTGATTGATATTTTCTGTTACTGATTTCTATCTTCTCATTGTACAACTTCTTAGTTACGATATTTAACTCCCGTGGTATGACTAAATAGAAATTTTATCAAATATCTTTGTAATTTGATGTCTTCAAGAGCATAGTGGTTTTTTTACTTGTTGACAATAAATTATCTCTCTCTATTTTAACTTATCGCTTAAATTTTAATTTTTAGCATTCTTGTTTCTCAAATTGATATGTTTCTCTTATAGGTAATTTCATCATCTCTTCTGGCAGTAGCAACTCTTGTTGATATTTTATTGAGAATGAAATCTCAAAGTAATGATTCTGAAGCTGCTGCCACTGAGCAAAAGCTTGCTTCCAAGGCTACAGAAGTCACACTATCTTCTGCTGAAAAAATATTGGCAGCGCACAATTCCTTCCTCGAATTTTTGAAGTGCAAAAGTCCTGTTATTCGTTCAGCTACGTATTCAGCTCTAACAAGTTTCATTAAACATATTCCTCAAGCTTTTGGGGATAATATGAAGGCAGTTTCTGCTGCTGTTCTTGGTGTTTTCCAAGAAAAGGATGCATCCTGCCATTCCTCCATGTGGGACATGATATTACTTTTTTCAAGAAAGTTTCCAGATTGTTGGGCCTCCAACAATGTTCAGAAAGTCGTCCTAAATCGCTTTTGGAATTTTCTTAGACATGGGTGCTATGGGTCAAACCAAATTTCATACCCAGCTCTAGTTGTATTCTTGGAATCTATACCTCCTACAGCAGTTGGTGGGGAGAAATTTATTCTTGATTTTTTCCAGAACCTGTGGGCTGGAAGAAATCCATTGCACTCCTCTGATGCAGATCGTGCGTCTTTCTTCAGGGCATTTGAAGAATGTTTTCTTTGGGCGGTGCAAAATGCTTCAAGGTGTGGATTTACGTTTGTTCTTTCTTTAGATTTCTTTATAGTCCGTAGGCCGGTCTTGAATTGACCTCAATAACCAGAGGTTCTTTCTTTAGAGTTGATTAGTTCTTCGTCATGGGGCATTGCAAAATGCTTCAAGGTGTTAATTTAAGTTGGTTCTTTCTTTTGATTTCTTTAAAGGCCATAGTCCGGTCTTGACCTTCATAACTGGAGGTACTTTCTTTAGAATTGATTAATTCTGCGTCAACTCTATCATCAAGAGTGTTTTCCATCCTTATTCTTTTGTTTGTTTCCAATTGCTTTATCCAGATATAATACATCTCAAGATGCCATAAATCCTCTGTCTACCAAACTTGTCAGCAACATTCTTGTGGAACTTTTGTGGCGGGACTATCTTCTGCTTGTAAACCTGAAAAGTAAAGATGAAAGTCAATTTCTGATGTCTGATGGTCTAGCTAGTGAAGGCATTCAACTGTCAGAGGAAAAGTCACAGGAAATAGTCAGCGCTAGTCGCCCTACAGGTTACACTGAAGAATTAGGAAAATGCATTGTTGGAATTTTGGCAGATATTTCCATCAAGGAATCCTGCTTACTGACTGAATTCTGTACAATATTTCTCAAGAATTGTTTGGACATTTTCCAGCAAGGAGAGAAGCAGACCAAATTTCCTGAGTATGTTGAAAGGATATCAAATTTCTTTCGTTTACTAGACCAGTATGCATGGCAGAAAGGTCAAATCTGGCCTTCTTATTTGGCAGGACCATTGTTTGCGAACTCTTTCAAAATCACCAAAGCCATGGTAAAACTTCTAACTGATGCATCAGATGATTGTTCTTATATTTTCCCTCCTATTTTTCTACGATATCCCTGTATAATTTAATATATTTGCAGTCCATTGAGTCAATGGGTATAGAAGATAAATAATTTGAAGATACTCTCAATCAGCAATAAACCTAGGAATTATTAAGGCAATATTACCTTTCACCGCACCCCCTGCCTCACCCCGCCCCGCCCAAAAAAAAACCCAAAAAAAACCAACCAAAAGAAAAAAAGAAAAATAAAAAGAGTCAAAAAACCACCACCACCACCTCCGCACACAAAATAATCCATTAGGTCCATACTTCCTCATTTTCAAAATTGTTACCATCATCATCAAGCCGAGGCGGCAAAAACCACCACCACCAAACCTTTATCCCAAATGTTTAGGGTCAGCTATATGAATCATATTTTTCCATTCCATTCTGTTGCGGGTCATTTTCTCCGTTACGTTAGTCTTAATCATATCCTTCTTAATTGCTTCTAACCAAGTCATTCTAGGTCGACCTCTAGATCTCCTATCCCTATTAACTCTAATATTATCACTTTTTCTAATCGATGCACTAAGGGGCCTCTTTTGTACATAACCAAACCATCCTAATTTATTCTCTCTCATTTTATCCTCAATAGGCGCAATCTCTAATTTACTACGGATGTATTCATTTCTTATCCTATCTTTTAATGTATACCCACAAGACCATCGCAATATTCTCATTTCTGCTACACATTTTTTAAACATGTTTTTTTTAATTACCCAACATTTGACCTATAAAGCATAGTTGGTCTTATAACCGTTCTATAAAATTTTCTCTTTAGTTTCATTGGTATTCTACGATCCCGAAGCATTCCTTCATTTCAACCATCCCGATTTGATTCGATGCACAACATCATCCTCTATCTCACTATCATGCCTAATGATAGATCCTAAATAGCGAAAATGATTAGTTTTAGATATTTGTTAGCCATCAATATGTATCATAGACTCTCTTTCCTATTTTTACGAAAAATGCATTCCATATATTCTGTTTTTGTTCTACTAATTCTAAAACCTTTGGACTCCAGAGCTTGTCTTTATCTTTCTACTTTAGCAATTCTGTCTCTTCTAGTTCATCAACTAATACTATATCATTAGCAAATAACATACACCATAAAATTTCATCTTGAATGTGCTTAGTAAGTTGGTTCATAACTAATGCAAAAAGATAATGACTTAAAGAATTGACCCTTGGTGTAAACCTATGGTAATGAAAAATGGTTTAGTCTCTCATTCATTAGTTCTTACTCTAGTTGTTACTCTATTATATATATCTTTAATCACATCAATATATATATTAGATACATGTTTCTTTTCTAACACCCACCATATTACCTCTCTAGGTATTCTATCATAAGCTTTTTTAGATCCATAAAAATAATATGTAGATCCTTTCTCTTCTCTCTATATCTCTCCATCAACCGTCTCAAAATATGTATATGTTCTATAGTTGACCTCCCAGGTATAAAACCAAATTGATTTTCAGATATACATGTATCTTTTCTTAGTCTTTGCTCAATTATCCTCTCCCAATGTTTCATAGTATGACTCATGAGTTTTATACCTCGATAATTTGAACAATTTTGTATATCCCCTTTATTCTTATATATTAGTATCAAATATTAATTCTCCGCTCATCCGGTATTCTTTTCGTCTCGATAATCTTATTAAATAGTTTAGTTAACCATCCTAAGCCTATATCTCTAAGACATTTTCAAACTTCAATAGGGATATCGTCCGGTTCTACTGCTCGTCCACTTTTTATTTTCTTTAGAGCATCTTTAATCTCGCTAATCCTAATTTTACAACAATATCTACAGTTCGTATCATTAACTATATGGTCAAAATCTCTATTTTACTTGCTTGTTTGATTATCATTAAACAATTGATAAATGTAACCCCTCCACCTCTCTTTTATTTCACCGTCGGTCACTTAGAACTCTTTGATCCTCACTTTTAATACACCTAATATTACCCAAATCTCTACTCTTTCTTTCTTTAATCTTAGCAAGCTTATATATATCTTTCTCTCCCTCCTTAGATTCTAACTTCTTATAAAAATTTTCATAAGCTTTGTATTTATCTTTTTTGCTTCCTTCCTTACTAGTTTATATTTTTTTAAGTTTTCCTTACTCCTACACTTTTGCCACTCTTTATATAAAGTTTTCTTCTCTTTAATAACCTTTTGCACACTCTCATTCCACCACCGACTCTCCTTACCGTCTAATCTATAACCTTTAGACTCTCCTAGTATATCTTTAGCCACTTGCCTAATACAAAAAGACATGTTATTTCACATAATATTAGTCTCATTATCTATATTTTATATATCTTCTTTCATTATTTTATCTTTAAAATGTATTAAATTCTCTCCTTTTAAATTCCACCATTTAGTTTTTTGTTTTTTGTTCACGTTAGTTTTTCTACTCCACTTTTTAATAGATATGTCTAAGACTATCAATCTATGTTGTGTACTTAAACTCTCATGGTATAACTTTACAATCTTTTCATATTAACCTATTCGCCATTCTAGCAAGAAAAAAAAGTCTATTTGACTATTATTAAAATCACTTTTAAAGGTTATTAAGTGTTCATTCCTTTTTCTAAAAAGTGTATTTGCTATTATCAAATCATACGATATTGCGAACTCTAGAATTGATTTACCTATATCGTTCTTATCTCCATATTGAAACCTCTAGGTATCCTCTCATATCCGTTATTATCCTTACCAACATGCCCATTAGGATCCCCTCCTATAAGTAATTTCTCTCCAAGTGGGATTCCTTGTACTAATTTATCTAATCTATCCCAAAATTTTCTTTTAGTACTCTCGGGCAAGCCTATTTGTGGTGCGTAAGTACTAATAATATTAATAACCTCTACACCTAAGATAACTTTTATTATTATTATTATTCTATCTCCAACTCTTCTTACATCTACAACACTTCTTTTATTATATTATCTAAAAGAACTACTCTATTCCTATACTTCGCTTTCCCCGTGTACCAACGTTTATATCTGGTCTTTTCATTTTCTTTAGATTTTTCACCTATCCATTTAGTTTCTTGTAAATAAATTATATTTATCTTTTTTCTAATCATGACATCAACTAATTTCATTATCTTTCCGGTAAGTGTACCTATATTCCAAGTAGCTAATATAATTCTATTTTCTTATAAAAGTCTCCTACTATTTTCCCTCTTAGACCATTCTAGTCTATGCCTAATACTATTAGGTACCCTATTAGAGGATTGTAGAATCTTAGAACATCATTTCTTACTTGTTATTACACTGGGGTGACATCGATGTAATGCGTCGCTTCCGGTGGACGCCCTGACAAACCACGCTTGCTTACTTATCATTGCATCGGGGTGGGATTGATGCAACGCGTCACGGTGGGGACGCCCCAACGAGTATATAATAGGATTCATTTTGCATGTGGATCCGACTATGTTTTACGCTGGCTATCGGCTACCTAACACAATCCTCCTTTATTCTGGCTTGGGATAGGCAGTGCTGACAAATAGCACTGGCGGAGTTTGATTGTATAAACAACTTATATAAGCAAAAATCGGATAAGAATTCTTCTCCTATTGATGTAATGAATCTAAGGGTGAGTTTGGTTTTGCTGGACTTATGGTAAGTTGGTTGTATAAATAGCTTATATAAGCAACTTACATAAGCAGCTGAAAATAGATGTTTTGTAATGACATAGCATTAGCTACTTCCAAAAGCAGTAAGGTGTTCTATAAAATTGTGCTTCAAGATCATTATAAGTGAAAATGTCAAAAATAGATATGGCTTCAACTATCAAAATAAACAAGATAATTTTATAATAGATAAAGTAATAATGTCAAAAGCTAAAGGATATCTATGGTATTAAAATGTAGAAAACAGAAACTGCTTTTAAAAGCATCCTCATGTTGCTTCTAAAAACACCCCCTTAAAAGCACCAACAGTTTCAATAAGCATACAAAATAAGTCGTACCAAATACCATTATTCATTGCTTCTTGAAAAAATAAGTAGAAGCATCCAAACTGGCACTGAGTCTTGTGAAACAGAAGTTACCGAGGGAATGACAGCTCAACTCTGAAAATTTTCCCCCGCAATGTCTTTAACTAAATCCAGCTTCCAGCACCTCCTGGCCTCATTTTACTAGACCCCATTGGAATCATACTTCATATCGGTCTATATTACTTCTGGCAGGTTTAGATCAATCTTATCCTTCTCGTCTAGATTCAAGTAGGCTGTAGCCTTGGTGAATATAATAGGAACCATAAGGTAAAGAAGAAAAATAAGAAGGAATTGAAATGAAATAATTATTTTAGGAAACTGAATAGATTTAGAAAAAGAAAGTTATCCAGGTAAACAAATATGTAATGAAGGGCTAACTCTCTTAGAATTCTGAGAGGTGTAGTCTACTCCCATCCCTCACCCCATTGAAAAGAAAAACCAACACAAACAGATGCAAGAAGAAGAGGGAGGCTTCATTGGATTTTTTTTAAATAGCTGTAGACTTGAATAGGAACACTGGCTGGAGGAAGCAGATAGCAGTCTTTTAGGTCAGAAATAGAAAAAGAACAGTGCTTGCAGGAGGCTTTTCCCCCCTTTTTTTGAGGGAGGGTGAAAGTGAAATTGATATGAAATTCACCCAAATAATGTGACGAAAACATGTAAGCAATGAAATGGGATCACTTTTCCCTCCCCCCATCTTTCTTTCCTATTACATCCACCCTCTATCCTCTTGAATTCAAACTAACAACAGATCCAAATCTGATCATGTATTTCAAGTGGGCTCACTGCATTGGTGTTTTCCTTGTTAGGTGTTCTATCTTGTTGCCTCATTTGCAGTTTATTCTCCGCACTAATGACCAGCCATCTTATTTCCTCATGGATAGCCTTTTACCTTGACTCTCAAACTTCTAATACAGGATAATATATTTTCCTAGGGTTAATTGCTGCTAGACCCTTGTAGATATCTCCTACTTGTGGATAGACTCCCTGTAGTTTCTAGTTATGTGGATAGACCCCCTGCACAATTTGCCCAAGCACGTATAGATTAAGAGAACTTTTATTTTTCTTTTAGGAGTGAAAAAAAGCAATTTGGGGTCCGTACGCACCAATAGAACTACAGGGGGTCTATTTGTCTCTACATTTTTTTTTTTGACTTTTTTAAGAGTAAAAGTTCACTCAAGGGGTCTATCTGCACAATTATAACTATAGATGGTCTATCCGCAATTGGGCGATACTACATGGGGTCTATCTGCGCTTAATCCTTTTTTCTATTATTTTATTTAAGAGAAATAAAGTAATGACTTAGGTCATGTAAGACATTTAAGTTTAGTTTGTCAACTCTATAAAGTATAGACCTTTAGCTTGACATTGGCCTATGGTTCTTATTCGATTCTAGATAATTGTTTTTCTTTGAGTGGATGATTAGCTAATGTAAGAAAAGTGTAAAAAAAGTCATCACATGGATCTGCTATATTATTGTATGAATTCTTTACTTGTCAACCAGATGAAGCATAAATGTATCGTATTTGAAGCTGGGTAGTTGTATATTTATTTATGTATTATTCTTCCTAATAGAAATAAAGAACTTTCTTGTGTAATATATGCAATGGTGAGGTCTGCTTTATCAAATGTTCCTATGATAACCTTTAATCTTTTAGCTTGAGACGGGCCTTCATTCCTATTGCTTTTGGATTATGATTACTTTAAGTATAAGCAAATTGTTCAAAGAATCAATTTATAGTTAAAGCTAGTTTTTCTGTGAATTATTTTATATTTGTATCACTATAAATACGGTGTGTATTTGAATTTGACCTATTCCTTGTCTAATGATTTCGAATCCAGTCATTCACTCGGGTTATTTTCATCTTGTCTCTCATTAATCCATCATTGTGATACATAGTTTGGTTGATATCTATTATTCATTCCTTTATCTCCAAATTTTGTTGTTGATTCTTATTTTCTTTTTATGTGCTACTGAATCCTGTGTCTTTGTTTATCTGACTTGATTTTAATTTGTCTTAGTGATTATGATATGGTTTTCCTAATAGAGAGATGCATATGAATTCTATTTGACCTTCATTGGACGCAGGATTCTCCAGATGCTATCAGATTTTTGTACATCTTGATTGAAATATTTGGACCTATAACGTTGTTCTCATTCCTCCATTTTGGCAACGGAGACCAATGGAGCATTGACACTGTTCAGGAAACTAATTATGAAGTGAAAGTGAAGTTTTTTTTGCAAGCATTCAGAGATGATTTTGTTCCTTGGTGTTTCCATGGACATACTCGCTCATGCAGTGAAAAAATTGATCTCTTGATTGCTTCAATTCAAGATGAATTTTTCTCTGAGCAATGGTGTTCTGTCCTCACATATGCTACCTGTACCGATCCAGATAAATTCACTAAGCCTGATATAAGGCCTTCAGATGTTACTGATCAGACTGAATTGCTGGCAATTCTTATTGAGAAAGTGAAACGAAAAATCAACAAAATGAAGATGAAAGCTGTTCAGAATATAGGCTGCCTCCCAGTACACTGGCAACACAAGTTATTAGATTCAGCTGCAATTTCAGTTCTTCTTCATTCTCCTCCAAGTACATCTGATGCTCGGTTTCTATGGTAATTGATTTGGTTTTGGTTCTAGGGTTTATCTATTATTTTTATCTGGTAGTCAGCTTTATATATGTCATCAATGATGAAAATTATTTGCCTTTTTACATCTTGAGAGAAGATTTACGTAAGACAGCTGAATGCATCACTGAATAGTGAATATACAGTCCAACTAGAATAGGTTCCTTGTCCTTAATGTTCCGTTGAAGATAATTTCCTCAAGCCGGGAGTATATCCTTTACTATCTCTTGTATATTTTACATCATGCGTCATGTTTAAACCCTGAGATATATTTGGTGTCCAGGATCAGAATCCTGGAAATCATTTTTTTGTCTTATTTATTCTGGATATGTTAGAAGAGAAAACACACGCACAGGAATAATGGATATGAGCTGCCACCAGATTTTGCAAACTGAGCTGCCAAGAGATAGAAATGGTGAGGTTCACATGCTCTGATGACTATCAGGTGGTCTGCACCACTAGTCTATCTCTTGGTAGCTCATTTAATGAAATGAGCTGCCACCTCGTGCTCATTTTACACATACAACGGTGTGAGATATCACATTGTTCGAGGAACCCTAGATGCTGTAGCTCGGTGGAAACCAAATTCTTTTCCTCAGGATCTCTTGGGTGGAAATAGGGAACGAAGTAACTAGATTAGACGGATTTGGTAGAATCCCCTTCTCCTTTGCTCAAACACTTCGTAAAAGAAAAGTAAAAATTTACATGTGTAACAAGTCGCTCTTGACACGTTATTGTATTCACCCAATTGAAAAAGGATGGCTTAATCTTTTGATTGGAAAACTGGTTTAGTTGTGCTTGTGATATTTCTAAATATCTACATAGTTATGCCTTAAATATGTCTGTTATCAATTGACAGGTATGACACTCGTGGTTATAATTTTTTGACTTCGATGTCATCAGACATTTCGTCATTTTGACTTCGGTTTCTTCATACACATTCAAAGTATTTCTGGTTACTTAAGTGAGAATTTTAATCTATATGTTTAAAGATACGACTCCAGAAAATCTGTTCTTGTGGAAGTTTCCTAATTACAAACCATTACACCAACAGAGTAGGTTTACAAATTGTTTACTTATGTTCCTGTAGTTACCCCATGATTTTTCTCAGTCAAGCCTCTGGTACATATTCAGTTCTGTAAATTTCTTTCTTGTTATAGTTAGCCGAAAGGCTTCTTCTTGGAAAACATATTCTTAAGCGCTTGGACCAATGGTGGCATAACTTGCTTCAAGATAAGAATTTTATATTAAATTGTCAAAATCTTTTCTTATTTCCTAGATTGATAACTCTCCTGTTTGATACATCTGTTGTTTTTTAAACCTTACCTTCATAACCTGCTACAGCGCGGTACTAGGAGGCTCAACCGAAGATGACAGAACGTGCTTTGTTTCAGGAGAAGTGATAGTCAGTGTATTTCAGGAAATCTTGAAAAATTTAGTAATATTTCTTTCCTTATCTTCATTTGAGTGGTCAAGGCTTTCATCCTCTTTGCTGCTGTCTTCTAGATCCTTGGACTTAGTGCAGAAATCATCTTCTGCTGACAGACTTAAGATTGCTCAATTTTCTTTTGAAGTCCTTGAAGGTAGTTGGACTTTCTGCTCGAAGATGCTTGGTGCGGATCATGTTTTGCTTCCTTCTATTTTGGCTGCAATTTTTATCATTGACTGGGAATGTAGCATGTCATCATGTTTAAGCAAGGAAGATTGTTCTGAGGGTACTGAAAATTTGATCAATCCTGATATCTCCTTAGCAACAGACGGAATGGTTCTAGTTGATCATTCAAAAGAACTATTTGATGCAAAGTTGATGCTTGGGAGAAGAATGCATGCTTTTATCCATAAGATAAGTGTCTCATCTTTGATGCTTTTCAGTTCTAGCAACATATCAAGACTGAGAAGCATCTTAGTTCAGACACTTAGATCTGCAGCCTTTGAGACTAATAACTTGACTTCTGATCGGATTTCTTCTTTGTGCTGTGAATGGATGCTGGATATGCTGGAAGTCATCTCTCATGATGAGACAGAGTTACAGAATATGTTGGATCAGTTACTAACAGAGGACAGTTCATGGACTATGTGGGTTGCACCATCTTCTCGAGATGAAAATGGAACAGCTACAATCCAAGTTAAGAGAGAGCATACAGGCATTAAGGTAAGAAACCCAGTTAAGTTCAGCTATATTTACTGATAGGAATGAAACTGAATTATGCATTTCTAGGATATAGTTTAATTTAGTTTCTTTCAATTGCCAGGGTAGCATATATTTTATCATTGTGTTTCACCATTGTATTTTTTGTCCCTTGCATAGAAAACTGACCTATTGGATTCTATATTATATTGTCACTTCCAATGTTTGTGGAGTAGGTTACTGATGCCTTGTGGCTCAATTGCCCTGTGGTTTTCATTGACTGCTCAATGTACATTGGATTCTTTTAGCAGTGTGCATGACAAAGAGTAGTGGTAATCAGGGTCTTACTCATGATTGCATAATAGTTTGCAAAACTCTGTTAAAAACTCTTATTTATTCATTAAAACTTACTTTAATACTTTTGAAACTCTACTTTTAAAATTAAACTGAAAAGTTCGGCTAGAAGAGTTGTTTCTGACAAAATCTTTTCAAATCCATTTTAATGTTTTTTGAGAAGAGATATTTTAATATGCTTTTCATCAAATTGTTACTATTATTTTGTTTAAGATAAATGTTTAAATCTTTAGTTAGCAGTTAGTCATAGATCATGTTCAGTGGACCTATTTATCTATGAAGCAATTTGAAATTAAACTAAATAAACTCAAGCTATATTTAATTTTTATAATTTTCCTTAATTATGTGATTGACCTAAAAAAATTGGTGATCTGTACATGTGAATTGGCATATATCTCTTTTTTTTTGCGACCGTCTTTTTTATACATTATGATCATGGTATCTAGTCAACCATTTTTTATCAGATTCGTTTTTTGGGGCTTACTTTAAGTACATTTTACTTATTTTCCATGCTAAACACGTATATTTATAAGTTATGATCCTTTTTTTGCCAAATCCTGGTTATTAACGACACACTGAATGAATATGAGAAGGTCTGAGCTGTCTACCTCTGGTAGGGAAGTTGCAATTCAGCCTGGGAAATAGAAATATGTAACGGTGGTGTCATGTACTATTTTGAACAAAACATTGAGTCATCTTCTGGCCTGTTTTCTATTGAGACATGCATACTTGAAGTGGTCTTATGTAATTTGTTACTTTTCAAGAAAAGTAGTCATACATATTTTGAGCTCGTGCTAGTTTTGTAGATTCTGCATTATAAACTGTCCTTTTCCTTAAGGCATTTGGATAGCTTAAAGAAATATTTTCTCAAACTATACAAAAGAATTTTATAGTTAGCTTTTCCTCTATTAACTGTAAATATTCAGTTTAATCATTGTATGCAGGAAGTGAGGCATAATCAGTTTATTGCTTTTGTTGAAAGGCTTAGCTCAAGTCTGGGGTTCTCCAAAGTGATAGCTGGGTTTGTTCGACAAATTCCAGATTCATCTTCTGTACCGTTGACTGAACATGATTCATCTTTCTCCTCCTCTTACTCCCGAGCATGGCTTGCTGTGGAGTTGCTTTGCACATGGAAATGGCAAGGGGGGAGTGCTTTAGACTCATTCTTACCTTCATTGAGCAAATATGCAAAGTATGAATCACCCTACCCTGAAGTACATGTAATTTTTTCAATAGTCAACATATTGTTCGATGGTGCCCTTGTCCAGGGATCCAATGGCCTCTGGATTTCTTTTAACACATGGGTTCCTTCAGATGATGAGGTTGAAAATATTAAAGATCCGTTTCTCCGTGCTATTACTTCCTTGCTGTTGATACTATTTGTTAAGGATAAAACTTGGAGAAAGCATGAGGCTCTTGAGATTTTCAAGAATGTTGTTGGCAAACTTTTTACAGATGCTACTGTAAATAGGACCTGCCTAAGAATTCTTCCCTTTCTTTTGAGTATACTTATTGAACCATTACTTCTTCAAAGCACAGAGTTCAATGATGCCAGTAAAGATGTCGTGCTTGCTCCTTGGAAGGATGATTCAGTTCTCAAGAGTGTTTTGAGCTGGCTCCAGAGAGCTCTTTCTTTTCCACCTCTAGGCAGTGGCTGCTCTGGAGAACCAGGTACTTAAAATTGCATTTACACAATTAGTAATTGTATTTTCACTTTGAGTATCTTGAGCAAATACCCTTCTCTTTCTTATGGCAGATCTAGAAGAATGGGTTCAACTCATAGTATCTTGTTATCCTTTACAAGCGATTGGAGTACCTGGAGGATGTAAGGTGGAGTTGGGGAGAGACATAAGACATTTAGAGAAATCATTGATGCTGAGTTTGTTTCAAAAGCAAAGAGGTGGCAAAGATGTTTCATCATCTCAATCTGAGACGCCATTTGCTGCATCAGCCTCTAAGAATTTAGTTTCTTCCTCATATTCGCAGCTGATTCTGGCAAAGCTAACAGCAGTATCAGTTGGATATTGCTGGAAGGAGTTTACTGAAAATGACTGGCATTTTGTGTTAGATAGTTTACAGAGTTGGATAGAATCATCTGTTTTGCTGATGGAAGAAATTGCAGAGAAAATAGATGAGCTTGTTATGAGCTCTACTTCTAAACCTAACCTGGATTATGTTTTAGAGAAGCTTGAACTAGCTGTTCTGGATATGGATCCAATGGCAATAAATATTTCCGGAACTGCTCTACTTGTGTTATCTCTTTTCTCGCAGCTTGTTGAGCTCCATGAAACAGATAGCACTGAAGTTTTGTTGACCATAAAGTTGGGAAAATGGGCCCAAATTAAAGACCGGGTTATGGAAAATATTCTCCGACTATTTTTTGCAACTGGAGTTGCTGAGGCAGTTGCAAGCACATGCAGCAATGAGGCTTCATCCATTGTAGCATCAAGCCGGATTGCATATTCTCAATTTTGGTCACAAGTTGCATCATTAGCTATTACCTCATCTGAGGATGTTAGGAATACAGCTGCAAAGTCTATGGAACTTTGGGGTCTTAGCAAGGGACCTATTAGCTCCTTGTATGCCATTCTTTTTTCTTCGAGACCCATACCTTCTCTTCAATTTGCTGCTTATAGGTTGATTTCATCAGAGCCACTATGTCATGTTTCACTCCTGAAGGACAACTCTCAATTGGGAAATGTCACTGCTAATGAGGATCTGAACCTGAATGGTTTTAACTCATCTTCTGTAGATTGTCTCTCTTTAATGGATGAAATTTCTTTCCTCATTCAGAAACCAGCTTCTGCTCTTCTTGAAATGGACTTAGTATCACAAGATAGGGTATGGCTATGTTTCTCTCGGCAGACTAATTATCTGGTTTTATGTCTTGGCTTTATTATCTTTTGTCTATACTGATATAGAGCTTTTGTATCTGCAGGTAAATGTCTTTCTTGCATGGGCTATACTGCTATCTTATCTACGTTCATTGTCACCTTCCTCCTCAGCAAGGGAAGCGCTGACTCAATATGTACGAGAATCTGTTAGTTCAGAGATACTGGATTGCATTTTCCAAAATATTCCTTTAAAGCAGGGTGTAGGTACTACAAAGAAGAAGGATATTGAATTTGTACCTGAAGCAGCTGTAGCTGCCAGTTTCGCGAAGAATGTTATAAGTTCAGGTTCTGGATTGTTAAACTTAGAGACACTTTGGCCTATTGGGACAGAGCAAATGGCTTCTCTTGCTGGTTCATTATATGGAATGATGATTTGGCTCCTCCCGTCTTATGTTAGCAACTGGTTTTCAAGCTTGCGTGATCGCTCTCTACTATCTGCTATTGAATCTTTCACTAAAAGGTGGTGCAGCCCTTCGCTTGTATCAAATGAGTTATCTCAGGTACGTGATCTCAGCTAATTGACCGTGTTGGTAGATAAACTTCAATCTTCTGATTTAGAAACGAAAGTGTGCGCTGATTTATGTTAGCCATCTATGAAAAATAAACATTGTTAAGATTTTGTTATCGGCAAGATTAGGCAGATATTTTAATCCATTGTTGGACAGGGCTTATTAGAAATTTAGAATTATTGCTGTCCTGCTTTTGGTGTTGTGAGGAATTTGGCACCATTTAGAGGGGTTCATGTATAATCTGTTTCATAGCCCTTTTATTTATCATCAAACGGAGAACATCTCTTGGAATTCAAGTTTTCTTAACATCATATGGGAAATATCATTGCTATTACTCAGATAAGCATCTGATATATATTTGTACTTCAGTCAAACCAGATACAAAATTACTGGAATTATTGTTGGAGACTCAAATGATGGATATGCAAGCGTGTTAACTAACATGCTGCTCTATTTCTCTATGAATATAGGAACTGTTGCTCACATTGCAACATTTGATCTATGTACTAAAACTGATAATATTCAAGATTATTTAGGGTTACACGACTGATCCTTATGCTAACCATCTCTATATTTTGGGAATTGATTTGATTTTGTGTTTGTGTGTGCGCACGCGCTTGTGTGTGTGGTTAAACGATTGTGTGGAGGGAGTACCTGGTTAAACAAATATTTGGATTGTGTTCTGAAGAAGCAACTTCAGCAATCATTCTTTTGATTAGGATTGTTCTTTGAACTCTCTAAATGTTTAGCCTCACTGATTTGCATCTGATTGGACAGGTTAAAGAGACTGTTGTTGCTGATGAGAATTTTTCAGTAAGCGTGAACAAGTCAGCATATGAGATAATCGCGACCTATAAAAAGGAAGAGACAGGAATGGATTTGGTAATTCGCCTTCCTATTTGTTATCCATTGCGTCCTGTGGATGTTGACTGCACAAGGAGCCTGGGAATAAGTGAAGTGAAGAAGAGGAAGTGGTTGCTATCTTTAACTGCATTCATACGGAATCAGGTTATTTCTTTTTGCTATGCTTGTAGTTAAGCTTTCTTGCATTCTTTAACTTAGATGGCTCCAGATGTTTTCATTTATCATGTTCCTGTGGTCTACATATAATGCATAAATGAATAAGTTATTGCCGATTATGCCAGGGATTATACTTAAGGAATCTTTTTAATTAGTTTCTATGTAAGATCTTGGGAAACTCGTATTATCCCATGATGACAAAACCATTTTGGATAATTTACAGAAAAAAATTCCATGTCAAATTTGACTTTCAGTCAAACTAGCTGGCACGGTGTTTCCATTGAAATTATTCAATTATGGGAAAAATGCTTTAAATCCCAGACATTCCTGACATGTAAGATCATCCAAGTCAACTTGTCAAATGCGAAAACTCCCTGCCTCTTTTAAAGTTTCCCTCCATTCGCTTTTTCATCACATTATTTTTAAACATATCAAAATTATTCTTCTGTATCTCCTCTCATTGTAATATTGTATTTTACTTGGACGATTGATGTATACAAGGTATTGAAAGATTTCTTTTCTCGTAATATTTTATACAGAATGGTGCTATAGGTGAGGCGGTCCGCATTTGGAAAAATAATATTGATAAAGAATTCCGTGGTGTTGAAGAGTGTCCTATTTGTTACAGCATCATCCACACCTCAAATCATAGCCTTCCTCAACTAGCTTGCAAGACCTGCAAGCACAAATTCCATTCGGCTTGCTTATACAAGTGGTTCTCAACTTCTCACAAGTCAACATGCCCATTGTGTCAGACACCATTTTGATCAGCTGTATCTAAATTATAGCACTTTAGCGACATTTCGCCAGCACATGCTCTTCGGAAGTCTTATTGGCTAGTCGTTGTACAGAACGAGTATGTATCAAGAATATACAGGCTGGAAGTATCAACACGCAAGTGAACAGAAACAGCTCAATGAACAGAGTCAAATATGTAGCTGAGGAATTTGAATTTTTACAGCAGCAGTATTGGTTGATTGAGAGAAACGTGATGTGGTCTTGTATTTTAGGAACATGGCTGTCTGTTGTGTAATATATCCGGCAATATATAGAGATTTTGGTGGAAAAGATGAGCCTTTGGCATCACTCAAGATGTGCATTATGTCTTCCAATGTGAAAGAACTTTTTTTAACTGAAAGCGAGTATAAAAGAGTTGTTTAGCACATTACTGGTAGTACTCTCAAAGTAATTCCCGTCAAATATGCCCAATTATTTTTGAATTGTTTTGTCTGTAATTGACTTGGTAGCTCTAGTCTCTTAATCTTGCGCTTGAATTAGTACTATTGTAGAGCCTGCATGTTACATGTCATCTGTTTGTGAACTGGATCAAAGTTCTTACGCTAAATGAGTAGGGAACTTTGATTAACTTCTTCCTATTACAGTAAGTTCCATACATCAACAGATAGAGCAGCACATTGATCCATGATGTATTTTTAAAAAAAAAAGGAAGTTCTCTCCTTTTCATTGCTCGGAATGAATGTACAATGTTTACATGAACCTCTATCAGACGCTTCCTTTTTTCTCTCGATAAAACACATTCTCAAAAAAATCCCTTTCCTGCCCCCACACAAATTTTCTGGTATTTTCGGCATCAAGATAATTCCGGCACTTCGACATCTTCATCAGGATCCGTCACAGCTTTTCCTGTAATCATTTCAAGTACCACACATCCTCGACACAAAAGATCAAATTTAGACTCATATTCTTGGCACGCCAAGCACTCTGGTGCTATAAACTGCCGTGTGCCCCGTATGCTGTAACGTCCAAGTACTCCCCCCTTCTGATTCGATAGCTTCACAGATCCAAAATCAGTAATTTTAACCTCGGAAGAACTCATAACTAAAATATTCTTGGGTTTTGTATCGCAATGCACATAACCTTTCCTATGCATGCAACCTGCCCTTTGTGAGTATGCACTTCGTGTAGCCTCGTACTTGTTGTTCTGAAGTGGTCTTGATTTGATGAGATTTGCAAGGCTACCATGAGGAGCGTATTCAACGTATATTTTTTGCAATGGATTTATGTTATCGATCAAGAACTCGTTTATCGAGACATTGGATGATTTCAGGGCAACCATGTAACTTACGTAGTATTAAACTTTCGTGAAGGAGCATCTCAGAATACTTTGGGTCCGATGCATATTTTACAGCAACGAGCTTTGTCGATTCATCGATCTTTGCCTCTAAGATGTCCGAGCATTCTGAATGCAGCGCCTCCTATTCCGAATACTGAACTTGGCTGTGAAGAATTGACAGTTGTTATCCCTGTGAGAATTTTCTTTGATCTCCCCTTTTTTGTTTCCGCTCTTGCATGTGAATAATTTTATAAGCCTTACGTGTCCGAATTCTAGTTTGTTTTGGTTTGTTACGCGTTTTAGTTCATTAGCAGTCCTAGTTTTATTAGTACTAGTTTGATTGCACGTGCAATGCACGTAGTTAAATTTTTATCATTTATTATTAACTTTTAAATTTATTTAGGGAAATCCCAGACATTCCTGACATGTAAGATCATCCAAGTCAACTTGTCAAATGCGAAAACTCCCTGCCTCTTTTAAAGTTTCCCTCCATTCGCTTTTTCATCACATTATTTTTAAACATATCAAAATTATTCTTCTGTATCTCCTCTCATTGTAATATTGTATTTTACTTGGACGATTGATGTATACAAGGTATTGAAAGATTTCTTTTCTCGTAATATTTTATACAGAATGGTGCTATAGGTGAGGCGGTCCGCATTTGGAAAAATAATATTGATAAAGAATTCCGTGGTGTTGAAGAGTGTCCTATTTGTTACAGCATCATCCACACCTCAAATCATAGCCTTCCTCAACTAGCTTGCAAGACCTGCAAGCACAAATTCCATTCGGCTTGCTTATACAAGTGGTTCTCAACTTCTCACAAGTCAACATGCCCATTGTGTCAGACACCATTTTGATCAGCTGTATCTAAATTATAGCACTTTAGCGACATTTCGCCAGCACATGCTCTTCGGAAGTCTTATTGGCTAGTCGTTGTACAGAACGAGTATGTATCAAGAATATACAGGCTGGAAGTATCAACACGCAAGTGAACAGAAACAGCTCAATGAACAGAGTCAAATATGTAGCTGAGGAATTTGAATTTTTACAGCAGCAGTATTGGTTGATTGAGAGAAACGTGATGTGGTCTTGTATTTTAGGAACATGGCTGTCTGTTGTGTAATATATCCGGCAATATATAGAGATTTTGGTGGAAAAGATGAGCCTTTGGCATCACTCAAGATGTGCATTATGTCTTCCAATGTGAAAGAACTTTTTTTAACTGAAAGCGAGTATAAAAGAGTTGTTTAGCACATTACTGGTAGTACTCTCAAAGTAATTCCCGTCAAATATGCCCAATTATTTTTGAATTGTTTTGTCTGTAATTGACTTGGTAGCTCTAGTCTCTTAATCTTGCGCTTGAATTAGTACTATTGTAGAGCCTGCATGTTACATGTCATCTGTTTGTGAACTGGATCAAAGTTCTTACGCTAAATGAGTAGGGAACTTTGATTAACTTCTTCCTATTACAGTAAGTTCCATACATCAACAGATAGAGCAGCACATTGATCCATGATGTATTTTTAAAAAAAAAAGGAAGTTCTCTCCTTTTCATTGCTCGGAATGAATGTACAATGTTTACATGAACCTCTATCAGACGCTTCCTTTTTTCTCTCGATAAAACACATTCTCAAAAAAATCCCTTTCCTGCCCCCACACAAATTTTCTGGTATTTTCGGCATCAAGATAATTCCGGCACTTCGACATCTTCATCAGGATCCGTCACAGCTTTTCCTGTAATCATTTCAAGTACCACACATCCTCGACACAAAAGATCAAATTTAGACTCATATTCTTGGCACGCCAAGCACTCTGGTGCTATAAACTGCCGTGTGCCCCGTATGCTGTAACGTCCAAGTACTCCCCCCTTCTGATTCGATAGCTTCACAGATCCAAAATCAGTAATTTTAACCTCGGAAGAACTCATAACTAAAATATTCTTGGGTTTTGTATCGCAATGCACATAACCTTTCCTATGCATGCAACCTGCCCTTTGTGAGTATGCACTTCGTGTAGCCTCGTACTTGTTGTTCTGAAGTGGTCTTGATTTGATGAGATTTGCAAGGCTACCATGAGGAGCGTATTCAACGTATATTTTTTGCAATGGATTTATGTTATCGATCAAGAACTCGTTTATCGAGACATTGGATGATTTCAGGGCAACCATGTAACTTACGTAGTATTAAACTTTCGTGAAGGAGCATCTCAGAATACTTTGGGTCCGATGCATATTTTACAGCAACGAGCTTTGTCGATTCATCGATCTTTGCCTCTAAGATGTCCGAGCATTCTGAATGCAGCGCCTCCTATTCCGAATACTGAACTTGGCTGTGAAGAATTGACAGTTGTTATCCCTGTGAGAATTTTCTTTGATCTCCCCTTTTTTGTTTCCGCTCTTGCATGTGAATAATTTTATAAGCCTTACGTGTCCGAATTCTAGTTTGTTTTGGTTTGTTACGCGTTTTAGTTCATTAGCAGTCCTAGTTTTATTAGTACTAGTTTGATTGCACGTGCAATGCACGTAGTTAAATTTCTAGTTTGATTGCACATGCAATGCACGTAGTTAAATTTTTATCATTTATTATTAACTTTTAAATTTATTTAGTAAAAGATTTGTTATAAAATTATTGAATGTAAGTAATGGGTCAAACATATAGACATAAAATAAAGTCATTGGACCTTATGCATTATCAAAACGAATAAGTTCAAATCTTTTAGACATTAGGATATAAGAACTAAGAATCACACATAACCTCATTGAATGAATTAGATACTTAACATTAAATGTTTTGTGTCCTATAACAAAATAATATGAGCAGCATTGAAGATAGAATACAATAGAATTTTTTTAGCAACCGCAATATGTTTTCAATAAAATACAGGTCAATTACGGACCATCTTATATTCAACATAGACAATTGTCTAGCATCGGTTAATCACTATCAAGTCAAGTTCTTCTCATATATGAATAGCTTCCACCATGTCTTTTTAAGAGAAAGGATTGAGTCTTGAAAGAAGAACTCAACCGAGCAATACATTCTTTAAAAAAATTGGGTGATTACAATCTACTTACAGTTAATCATCAAAATCCCCAACCAAAGAATAAAATAAGTAGTATCTCTCATCACATCACCAAAAAAAATATAAAACCACCTAGCTGTATACATCAAAAACCTATCAAAACACTCCTAACATACTCTCCTAACATACTCACATCCAAAAAATGGAACATTAGCAACATTTAGCAACAAAATATAGAGCTTAAAAAACATCTTTGTTCATCAAAGGCTTGAACTCAACTAAATAGCATCAAGTTGTTGATAACCTAGCAGCTCCCCATGTCTCTTACTGTTTCGTCATGGTTCATAGGAAAGGCTAAAATAATAAGGAAATATCAAGACATATAACCTTCTAAACACAAGTTAAAGGAACATGAAACAGAGATGCATAGGGAATTAGGGCAGATCACCTAAGTACTGATCGAATCATTGATAATGAACAAAGCAATATAGAAATCAATCTCTCCTATAAGGAACATTCTTTTTAAACAAATACCCATTACATGTACAATATTTCTTACATTATAAAGTCTACCAACATTTCTTACATTAACATCTATAATATCTGTTATGCTATAGAGTCTAGCAATAGAATAATTAAGCTAATAGACAAAAATTCGTTTTGGCTAACTATCATTCTCTAAGTTATCATATGACTTGTAGCCTGTAAGCTTAATAATTTCCTTTATCAATTGCATTATCAATTTTTATATGTATCATGAAATTAGTACTTTCCTCATAGTAATTCCAATTGGCATTTGAGCTCATATTTGCTTACATGAATTTAGATATTGCAAGATATTTGATAATGTCACATTTAGTAAAAGTTTACTCTCTGATAGGAATTTAGAAATTTCATAATCTTTAGTATATAACAATTGAGTCAATTACAATTATTATTAAACAGCTAAAAAAGGAAAGGAAAGAAACAAATAAAGCTCTCTAGACCAAATATATTAAACTACTATATCTACTTATAGTTGTAACAGATGAGCGAAAGGGATATAGCCTATGATGATTTGTTGAAGATAAAAAAGGTTAAATTTAATATTTTTTAAGTTGACCCTAAGGTATTTAATTATTTTTTACATATTAAATTTTTTTTTCCTAAATTTTTTGAAATTAGATATAAGGTATCCAATTAAAAATGCTAGTCCAAAAATATGATTTAGTAAAGGTTTTTTATCGACAAAATATTTAATTTGCCTTTGTCAGGTTGAATCGAGCGTGGCACCATAAGTTTTGCTCACAAGAAAAAAAAAACATTAACATCATTAAAAATAATCTTATTGGATATAATTATTGTTCTCGAGCTTTGATAGAAGGAAACTAAAATAAAACAAAGGGTTATTTGCACTTTAGTATCACAAAGTTTATACCAATTTAACTTCCATACCCCAAACTTACTACATATGTGAGCTCAATTTCTTTGACATCTGCCAACTACTACTGGCCTACTGTTATGTGAGTCTAAAATATATTTTTCAAAGGAAAAACATTATTGAAAAATAGGATGTTGAACTAAACAAGTCGGATCTATATCTATATGGGTCAGATGCAGATTCTACTGTGTATTTTATGGTGTCTTTAGATCAAAACAGTCAGGAAGCCAGAATGATTAGTCAAAGTCCTAAACGATCAATCTAGCATTTTACTTGCTCACTCAGTAGTACACCAGGATTAAGTTAAACCATATTAGAGGCTTAAGAAAACATACAGTGTAAAATTTCAGCACGCCAAACAATGAGGTTTTCATTCCAGTGGTTTGGAAGCTATTGCTTTATAGCAGGTAACAATGTTGGTCTGCATGAAAATTGCCCGCAGAAGGTGAGAAAGTACAAAGAAAAAGAACAGAAAATATGAGAAATTGCGGCTATTCTTATCATTAATAATGCATCTACAACAAAGTAGGTTAAAAGCAAGAGTAAAAAACATAGGAAAGAGCAATGATTCCTAGCACAAAAAAGTAACATGTGAGCACAATATTCACCAAATCTTTTGATAGAAACTTTAAGAGCAAGAACAATGACAAAAGCATTGCACTCCCAACCAAAGGAAACCGCATAGCATGTTCATTTGACATTGTTTCCTACATGCATTATGTCTTACATTTAGAAAAATAATAGAAAACCAACATGCACGTGAAAAGAAATAATATGCAGAATGAAAGGCTTTTTAAATAGAAAAACTTATTGATGGTGGTGTATCCTTTACTGACTGTTAGCATCCAACATAAATGGATATTGGCTGCAATGTAAATTGATACTTAACGTTGATTAACTCTACTTGAATGGACAATCATGCATCTCTACCATCTGAAAGCATTTTCTCTGCACCTACATCGCCAAAACCATTATAATAATTTAGATCTTGATTTTGTTACCTGTCTCAAATACTTCCCGCAATTCATTTTGGATTTAACTGAACTCTTCGAGTTAAAATACCATATAGTTTTTTGTTATCATCAAAGGCAGAAATAACGCCCCTGAAATAATCTTCTATTATGCCACATAAGGTCCTTTAGTCACAGATGTAACACTAAAAAATATCTTCCCTGAAATAATCTTCTATTATGCCACATAAGGTCCTTTAGTCACAGATGTAACACTAAAAAATATCTTCGCTATGGATGTTTTCACTTTATTTCTCACTTAGATCTATCATCATATCTAAGACAGAATATTATGTCCTTAGATGCACAGATTGTCTATTATGAATAGTAGAATCATCTGGAGAACCCAAAGCAATGTCTACAAAAAGATACTAACCTTAATGGGCATTTTCTTCATCCGTGGTACAAGTAAAGTTTCTGTACTCTCATCTTTCACAAGATCTGTGCCATTTAGTTCAAGCACAAAGCCATAAGAAGAACCATCAATCATTCCTAGCTTACGGTTTAACTTAATTCCGTCACTTAAATTAGCAGCATGCAATGAAGAACCAAGAACAATTACTTCGTCAGCATCAAGATGCTTGCCTAAATCTTTTCTTCCGAGAAATTCCTAAAGCTTAGCATGCAAGAAGTTATAAAAGAATGAGCAATGTGGCAACAGAGCTGATAAAATACAACCCAATCAACCTTTTATTTGAACTGCCTGATGTATCTGTCTTCCAATCAAGTGCATATTAATCATAACTACAAACTACCAGACATGAAAATATTATGCGCGAAGTCTTTAAACTCAAATTTCAACATACCAAAGTCACCTTGAACATAACATGAATCTAAAAATTTGCAAGATAGTCTGGCAGAACTAAAAATATATTACGTGATCTATATAGATACAAATATACTGTCATTTGCATAGTTAAATCTCTTGACGCATCAGAAATAAAATAACTAAGTGAATTAATGTTCACTCAAATTTGATTACTACAAGGTTCATATAAGCTTAAAACAATAATAAAATACAGTAAATGAGATAAACTTATGATGGTGTCAAAATAAAACATCCGAAGCTCCTACTGAAGATCCTAAGTTTTCTGAGATTTGTTCTTAAGTCAAAACTACAGGCCCTAGTCCATCTAGAGTCCTAGCAAACAGAGCTTAAATACTTAAAACGCACCTTAATCAAATGATATTTTATGAGTTTTCAATTTGAATGATAAGGCTTTAACTGTCATCTACCAACCCTTACATTCCCATGGACCAATAACTGTTTCTTTATAATTTGACACACAAGAGTTCTAGAAATAATAATCTGCAGAAAAAAAACAAAATTCATAGATAGACATATACAGGAACACACCAATTTTTTTTTTTTGAAATGTTTCTTTCGGAAAACAAGGTAAACAAGAGCAATTGAGACATTTAAACTTCAGTGAACATGCAATCCACAATACGTGATAGTGCCTCCAAGAAATTTTTGCCACAGTAGTGGAAGAGATCTAGTTTGATGAGATGCAAAACGACAAAGCGAAAGCAATGTAATAATGTAAATCCAAACATTATTGCACATCTTGCAATATTAAAAACGAGAAAGACAAATATATAGTCCAAAGAATTACAAAATCAGTTTAACCTGTAATTTTGGCATACGAATTGCTCCACCAATCAGCTCAACTGCATAAATATCATCAACCCCCAAGCCAGAGTGCTTGAGTAACT